GCACGCTGCTAGGACCAATGACGACTCCGAGGTTAGGGCCGCCTTGCAACCCGACAAGGATGAGAGACCAAACCCGCGGGAACACCAGCGCAACCGCAGTGGTGCCTCCCGGTGGGACGTCTCTCCCTTTTGAACATATACACACGACATCTCTTTGCCCTTCCTCCTACTATGCCAAAGTGTGGGCTGCAAAATGCCGAAGCGTCCAAACTTCCATCCTGGACAAGAACATGGACCGCGATGTCGCCGTTGGCATTGGCCTTTGCACAACATGCTCGTGAGTTGGCGTGTGGCCTAATGGCCGCGCATGCGTTACTGCGAACCACCGGGTCAACTGCACGATGCCATCCCCCGTAGTGGCCTTCACCGGAACGTAGCGCCTCATCAGTGACGCGGCGACAAACCAGATGGAGATGAACCCTCACAACACCGTGTTCGACGCGGTGCACCCAATTGGGTCGCAAGTTCAGCGAGGCGGTGTCGCAGACGGACATGAAGATGTGGTTGTGAGAAGTGGCCTCCGATAAAGACAGCGAAACGGAGGTGGAAATTGGCAGGATAAGAAGCAGTGCTGCACAAGATGTATTAAACTGAGGCTATGTGGTTTTCGTCTTTTTTCTATTATTTTTTTCATTGTTTTTCTCCTTGTATTGCACCTGCTCTTAGGAGGAAGTAAGCTGCTGGGTTCGTGGAGGTAATCCAGGGAGTGCTGTTAAGGCTTTGGTTTTCGGCATCGAAGGAGAAGCGTACGGGCACTCAGTAGTGCCGTTGAGTCCAATTGAAAGATACTTTATGAGCATATTTATTATACCCCGGTCGGGCACGTACTACGGCCACTTCGAGTTTGCCGTGGTGAAGTCTGGGAGGCAGCGGTCAAAGCTTAAGGTGACGGTTGCCGATGAGCAGCACACACGCCCTGTGTACGTGACGAAGGGCACATGGCCCTCCGGGAACAGACTCGCGTTGCCGCCAGGTAACTACCGTGTTCGGGTGGAATTGCTGCTTCCGCGCCTTGACGGCTCGTCCCTTTTGCTTGATGCCCTTGAGCGGAACTACTACGTCGTTAAGCAGCGGGACATTGGGCCAGCGTCCGCCACGCCCTTGTTAGTGCGGCCCCTGCGGGAGGAGTTCGCGCTGCGTGACGGCCATGCGCAGCATCTTGGCACGCTGCTGACCGCTGCAACACCTTTTTCCGCCGATCAAGTGAACGGATGCGAGGTAGCAACACCGTTTGTTTCCTTTGCACCTTCTCACAGGAGCACGCCAAATCACGACGATCGCTCCTACTCGTTGCCAAATTTTTTGGAGAGGGATATTGCTGCCGAGGGGGAATGCGGCAAACACATAGACGCCGCCGTGGAGGTGAATCGTGGTTCTTCTCTCAACAACAACAGTAGCAACAGTGCTGAGCAGGCTGATGTGCACGCACGTGATCCTGCGTCAGCAGAGGTGCTCTTGGCATTCTCTCAACGCTTATCAAGGCGGGCGACACCGTTCTCGATGCCGATCTATTCGCATTTGGATAGTGATACGGCAGCACAGCTGTCTCACCCGCACTTTGCACGAGAACCAATGCGGGCACCATCGCATGAGTACCAACAGTCGGGGGAAACTGGCGGAGGCACAAAAGCGGCGCTCCCCAGAAATGGTGTCACTTCGAATTTCACACCGTCCTCTGCCATGCCGTGTATCTGGGAATTGCCCCCAACTCCAGAAAGGGGGGCTGGTCTGAATGCCGAAGTTAGCAGTCTTGACCAGGCGTCTGAAGTTTTGACTGAGGGGCAACAGGATCGGGACAACGCACCAATGCATGTGTTGTACAGTCGGTCTGTAGAGCCATCTCGTGATGTTTTACGGCCGCAGACGTTGCGGGCGTTCTCCGTACGGTCGTCTGAAGCAGGTATGCCAGGACAACTCCCACGCGATGATTTTGTGGAGTGTTCCGCCGAGGGAATTAGTGTGGAATCATGTCATAATTATTCTACCCAGTCGACTCGTGCGTCTGGGTCTCTCCGACTTCCATATGGAGCGGCAATGCCGTTTCTGAATGAAGCTGTTGGGATTTGTTCGCTAAATGGGAGGCATCCGGAGTCTCCTGCATGCCTGAGCACCCCATTGGCGAAGCCGTCAAGCAATCTCACGGCGGGTGGTAGTTGTGACATCAACACCCCTGCGTCTTCTTGGGGCCCGATGCCCGCCGTCTTGCACCGTGATCCTACCCCTGCCGAGGCGCCTGAGGTGTTCTCCACCCCGCGAGAGCGCCTGCCCTCTAAGGGTGAGTATTCAAATAACTCTGCGCTTCCAACTTCAATGCTATCCTCCACGATTGAAAAGGAAGAGGAGGCCTCTCCTATGAGTGTTGCTGGTAGCAATCATTGGAGGTCGTTTGATCGGAGCAGCACACAACTGACGAGCCCGCGTCTGTCTTCTTGCAAATACGGCCCTATGTTTGTTGTGCCGCCCCCTGACGTGATTGACGTGCACATTCCTTTCTCCTTTGCACTCGCCTTTGGTGTCCCCAACGCCAGACCCGTGTCAAAATCCATTTTTTTGAATGTGCTGGTTGAAGAGGAGACGGAAACTGGAGTCAAGCCACCAGAGCCCATGATTTGTGTGGTACCTTCTGCGTTGGCAGAGGTGCCGACAATTGCAAAGGGAATATCCAGTGCTTGGGTGTGTTCACCTTCTATACGTGCTGATGAAAGGCGTGGCGTAATAGAGTTGCTGGGTGGTGCAGTAGGTGAGCCGCGCAACGGTATGATCATCTCAACTGTGTGCGTGGGCCCTTCGTGGAATGGACTTACACTCTCTGGCATTCAGTTCGTCCTGGACACCTTTGACGAGGGAGCCAATGCGTGGCAGTTTTTCGTGAGCTTTAGAGAAATCGAGAGCATTGACGATGAGGTTGAGAATGAGAATGGGGACGGGACGCTGGGAGAGGACGGAGAAAGCAGTGCCATCATACATGAAAAGAACATGCATATGTCAAACGTGGATGAGCGCGCACTTGGTGCGGAGGTGTTGTACAATTCACTGCCCTACATCCGCTGCTTCAAGAACGAAAACGGCGCGGTGATGCTCGAAGTGCACCGCAAGAGCGCTGTTGTTGCATGCGACCCCGTCCAGAAAAACTCGAGGATTGCTATGTACTTCGGCACAGCCACAACAAAAACTGGCGTGGAGCAGCAACCATACATCTCCGTTCTTGTGGATTATCGTACTGTGTTCTTTTCTTCGGTTCGTGATGAGAAAATCCCCGAGGTACTTCATACCATCATGATGAGCAGCGTTGAGTCGATGCATAAGACTGGACGGGTCGCTTTTGTGCGGCTGCGCGAGGTGGAGTTCCTGTCTCAGCAGCACAGACTTGTGGCATTCGCCGATGAGGTCATTCTGAATAACGAAAAAGCGAGCCGATTTGAGAGTAGTGGGCGGCAAAAGCAGACGTGTGGTGACGGAAGGCAGGGAACCCTCGCTGCGTGGGTGGCTGGGGAGAACCCTGGACTTCAAGCGCNAGCCGATTTGAGAGTAGTGGGCGGCAAAAGCAGACGTGTGGTGACGGAAGGCAGGGAACCCTCGCTGCGTGGGTGGCTGGGGAGAACCCTGGACTTCAAGCGCGGCGGCGCGTTGCTTTTCACTAATGTACCGTTTCTTTGGGGCTGGAGGAACGCGTCGCGAACAGGCAGAGTGCCTATGGAGGCAATGAATGGTAAACTGCGGTTAAGCAGGCATGCCGTTTAGGGGGAAGTCAGTCAAGTTTTTTTTTTTACATATCGTTCAGTTTGTTTGTTTCTCATTCCTCCCTTTCTTATCCACTGCTAGCGATGTCACTGTTTGAGGGCTTCTGTGCTTTTTTTTTTTTTTTTGNCATGTGCAAACAAAAAAAAATTCCGTCGCCGCTGTCATGGCGTCCTAACTACTCCGGCCTGACCGGAGCTGCGGAACGCTAGAGAGAGAGTGTGTGCCCCGTTTTGTGCGCCACAAGCACACAATTGCCTATGTTGCACAGCACGACTGCGTGATGGCAGAACCTTTTTTTTTTTTGTCCTCTTCATGTCTCCGGTTCTGCTGCTGTCTCTGCCCCCCTCAACTCTCTGCGTGCTGCGATAAGTAAAACCTGCCGAACGCCAGCTCTATAAATAGAACAGAAACCGCAACGGAAAAGAAAAGGTTAGAAGCAAGAATAAAGAAGTGAAGAGGCAAATCAAACCTCAAGAAAGATCGTCACTGAGGAAAGGATTCGCGAGAAACGATGCTGACTAACCTTGGGCTTGAGAGTGAGCAGCGGGGTCGCAACAACCGAGTCAGGGGCCGCCGCCACGCCCCTCGGGACGAGATGACAGGGCCCCAGCCAGCTTACATGACAGCCCCTTTCGCCGTGCAGCAGGAGCCGTCGCGGGGTTTGCCGACAGCGGGGGATCAGCCGATTCAGGAGATATATATAAACAATGAGGATGAATACGTGCCTTCTGCTGCTGGTTACCAGTCTCTGTCGCCACAGTTGCGACAGGATCGCCTCTCTAAAGGGGGATTGAACATATTCTCGTGGAACACAGATGCACCAACGGCTCCCCAGCCCCGAGTGACACGGGATCGCGATGCGGGTGAGCTCCTTCGGCTAAAGCCGCGCGACGCCGAGACACAGCGTGATATTGAGGTTCGGGAGAAGTTTGAAGGAAACACGCATGGCCGCTTTTTGTGCTTCAGTGAAGACGCTAGAGATGGTGCACAGGGAAAGATGCGTGTTTGCGTCAACGCCGACAGCAACGGACTGCAAAAAGCACTTGACTTCGGTCACCCCGACGGAATCGTGCGGCAGATCGACATGGCACCGCGCGGGAGGCGGCGGTCCGCCCCCAGCGACGCCGGCGGCGACGGCATCGCCGGCTTTGCGGGGATGGGGATGAACGGCGGCGGCAGGCCGTACAACCCGAGGAGGGACGCGCCGGTTGGCTACTAGTGACCCGCAGCCGACGGACGAAAGAAGAGAGAGAATGAGGAAAGAGTGGGGAGCAGGCAAGAAGAAAAGGAGAGCTGTGTCGGTACAGAATCGCCGACACAAATACAAATAGAGATCAGGGCAGGGCCTCTTTGCCAGCGAAAATGGGATGGGGAAGTTCGTTTTCCCTCTCTCCCTCTCTCTTTCTTTCTTACTCCTTGTGTGTATGTGACTGTGTATGTGTCTCTGTGATTAGGTTACTGTGAGATATTTATATTGTCATGGATCTGCTCCGTCTGGGCGCACAAGACGTTATGGCCGTGTATCGCTGTGGTGCGCGGGTGTAAAAGGAAAACGCTTATAGAGAATGAAAAGTTAACGTTCTCACCTGAGAGATACGAGATCTTCCAGAAGGATCTTAAATGATTCATTAATCTACTGATACGAAAAAAGGGGAAAAGACGGAAAGGAAACGATGGAATAAGTGTGAAAATAGGTAAAGCAGTAGTGCAAGATGAAGACACGTCCGTAGTTCATGAACACAGTTTTTTTTTTGTTTCTATCATCTGTTGTTTGTTACTACTCTCCAGTTTACGTTGTTTTGTGTCTTCTTTAACTGGTTCCATCCTTTCCATCTCGTGGTTCTTTTTTTTTTCCCGTGCTTGCCCCTGCCTCGTAGTATTCTCCGAAAAGTGAGATATATGGTCTTCATTCATGGTCGCATTTCCCGTGCTTCATCGTGCTTTGTTTTTTGGTATAGAAAGGAAACGGACCAGGCTTTATGATTATCATTGAGTTTCTTGCCGCTGGGTGTTGCGGTTTCGGCTGGCGGTTGCGGACATGACTGAGCGGACGCAGCAGGATGGGTTTATATTGCTTTTGTTCCCTCTGTCTCCTTCTCCTATTCCTCTCAAAGGCGTTACAAGGGAAAGAGGTAGTGTGTAGAAGTGTGAAAGTTTGTGACACGGTGCGGGAGGCGTCACTCCTTCTGCCTCTCCCTATTGTTTTCTCTAGTGGCTCCATGAAGCAATTGGGCGTGCGGCGTGCTGCCTCGTTCCACGTGCATCTTCTATATTGTGGTTTGATTCCTCCGTGTGTGGGGAGAGGATCCTTATGTATTCCGTTGTGGAATCCAAAGCGGCGCTGTGCGAGCCACCTATCGTTCATTAGCACGGAATCAGAAATTACCACTAATGTCACCATGAAGAGCCATAATAACAACAACACAGATGTTTCTGTTACTGTTGGTGCTGCAGATGTCAGTGCCTCTACTACACCCGACGAGATTTGTCCCCCGGCGCTACTCCCTCAGCCACCACCAATAGAAAAGGTGAGTCCCCAACCGCAGCCCACACCATCGCTCCACGACGACATTGAAGAGGACGCCGCAGATGTGTGGGATATAAAGCGGATGCTCTTTTCGCTGAAGGACCAGCACACTGGTGTGGTGTCACATATAGACGCCGCGGAGCGGCTACGGAGCATGGCACTTCTAGATGAGTGGATGATAAATAAACTCTTTCACGACAGCGGCTGGTTGCGTCAGCTGCAAACGAACGGAGAGGAGGCGCCACGTTATCGTAGTGTCGTGGGCGAATACAAAATTCTGCGCTACCTGTTGCACCGCTTTCTTTCAGATGAGTCCATGTGGTATGATGAATTAAGCGAGCTAATGCAATGCATTCTTGGGTGGAGGTTGAAAGCAAACGGAGGTGCTACTCCTGATGGGGATGAGGATGAGACCATCTCGCTGGGTGTTCCACGCACACTTCTCGCCGGGTCAGAGAAGATGAACTTTTATACCAACGGCGTGCAGGACGCCCTCTGGGAATTTCTCCACACAAAGAGGGGTTCTTTTGGAGGGCCCGGTGCGCTCTGGTATGCGTTTGTGGCATCTCATCGCAACATGCTGTCGCTGCCGTCGCCCCAGCGCCCGCCGTTCAGTGGCTACGAGCACCATCCCGCTCTCTCAGAGGCGGAGTTTGCTGAAGTGACGCGTCCCACAAGAGCGGCAGGAGACGACGAAGCTTCAACGAAACTGATTCGCGGCGTGACACTGCACTGGCCAGAAGAGTGGAATCCGTCGGCCACCGAGCAGGAAGTTTCTGCTGTCAATGATGCGGATGCAACACTTCCAAGCGATGATGAACGGCGGAAGTTCTACTCGCGTGATGAGTTCTACATGAGCCTTGTGATGCCGGATGAAACGGCTTTGGCTGCGGTGTGTGACGCTCCGGTTGGTGCCTCTCTTTTGCCTCACGCTGAGCAGCAGGTGAATCTCAGTCACACCCACCAGCGTGAAGAGCGCGGTCTCCTCAATCCAGTAAACGGAGAAATCGAGGACTTTCACCTCACACGCCTGTGGGACGTCTTTCAGAAGATGAGGCTGGAGGACAATATAGACATATATCGTGCAGTGTGCGGAAGGCTGGAGAGTATGCAAGCGGAGGTTTTTGCGGACATGATGGCGAGAAAGGGGCTGTTGCTGCTCTTCTTCGCTCGTGATGAGGTGAGGGCACTGACGTCACCTGCGGTGACGTATCGGCGACTGTGGTGCCTGCACACGGAGCTGAACGTGTTGGCGTCATGGGTCTCATCGTCCTGCTGCAGCAGGCAATCACCGCCTCCATCTTTTGAAATGCTCCCACTATCTTCCAGGTTGTCATTCAGCTGTTTCGCTCAAGAGCATGTGCCAATGCAGCGGAGCATGTACCGGCTGGACACCGCAGCTGCGTCCCCTGCACATCTATACTATCGATACTGCCAGCTGTATCCGCACATCGCCGTGCGCGGTGGGTATGACCCGCAGCCCGACGCAGCAAACAGAGTTTCTGAGAAACCTCCGGACGCACCATCTGTGTTGCTGGATCCGCCAGCGTTTCCACGCTTCGAATGGCTCACTGAGCTCCAACAGCTGGCATTCCAGTTTCCTTTCGAAAATATAGCCAGCTCTCCTGGTCAGATAGGATCAAACATCAGTGCAACGGTTAGCTGTTCCCCCCAAAATCCATCTCATTCTGAGGTAACGGAGACGTCAGAGCCCAACCCCACTGATAGGCCTTCTACCGTAGTTAAGCGTCGCGGCAGGGCAAGGAGAGCGGTGGAACCGGTAGAGCCCGAGGCTGCTGCAAGCACTGAGGGGGATCCTGTTATAGAGGAGGGTAATAATCAACCCGGAAAGGAGGCTATATGGGTTTAATTTGGTGGTACCGAGGCTAGTCTCCTGCGTGCGTTCTGCAAGGGGGATGCGGTACTTTTTTTTTGCGGAGATGCATGTGGGAGCTCGCTTTTTATGAGCAAGGAATGCGTTTTCTTTCCCTGTTGAGGTTTCTTTGATTGTGGTGTGAACGGCTTTGTTCTTGGGTCCCGTGGGGTGACTGTGATGCCTGTCTGCTTCTTGTCACCTGTATTTCTTCTTTTTGTTACTTCCATGCGCTGCTGGTGGTGCTGCTAGGGCTTCGGAAAGGAAGGTGGGAGGTGGTGACGCCCATTCCCCAGCTTTGGTTCGTTGCTTGTGTTCTTGCGTTTTTTTCAACGCCTAACACTTTCACAAGCGAGTCACACTAGCAGGAAAACAGCAGTCAGAAGTACGGCATTGGTCAAGGAGAGAGAGAGAGGGAGGACGGGAAAGTGTGAAGAGGCGGAAGCTTTGTCTGGCAGCATGATGCGGCGACTGATATCAGGCGACAAGAGTCTTAGTCGCTGCTTCGGCGTCCTTCCCGGTGGTGACCGAGCGGCCTTCTGCTTTGCACGCTTCGTGGCAACCTACCCGTCACCATCGTCAAACCGCGGTGTGAGCAAGTCGGGCCGCAAGAAGTACAACTTTCTCACAAGCACACGGCTCGTGGAGACGGCGCGTGAGCCGCGAAGTCGTAGGGATATCCGCTTACGCGACGACGTCTTCTTCCACCGGCGCACACAATTTCGAGAATCTGTCAACAGCAACATTGCGAAATACATACGGTACTTTCCTGAGAACGTCAAGCGGTATGTTTTCTACAAAAACAAGCCGGTGAATGTCGTTAACGCGTCGTTTCTGGGGATGCGCAAGGTGCCAGGATGTGTCTTGCGCCGAATTCTACAACTTACGGAAGATGAAATCTTGAAGCCTAAGAACCGCGAGCATCTGATAGAATTGATTGAGAGCACAGGCACGACACCGCCGACAAAAGAAGAGTGGGCACGCTATACCGACAAGAAGACTGGGGAGATTAACATCAATTTATACTATCATTCGAACCTAGACAAACCTATGCGTATTTTCTGTCTTCTACTGAATTCACCACCGCCTTTCAGGGAGTTCCAGGCATTTATGTTGTTGAATCGCAACAACTTCGACATTTGCCCACCCATGCGCACATGGTCGTTGCGGCAGGGTCCTCTGCGCGACGAGGAGCTCGTGGAACGCGGCTCACAGAAGGAGGTACGTGACATGGTGGGTGAGCTGGCGGACTACCAGCGTCCCCATGTGATGCGGGCCTTTAAGAACCTTACTTTGGAGGAGCGTAAGACAGTGCTCGAAAAGGCGGAGGCTAATCGAAAGGAGTTGCGCCACGAATACGAGCGGGAGCGGCTGTTTGGAGCGAAGTTAATGTGTGGTGTGACGGCGCTGAAGGAGGTTCGTGCGTTGACGAGTCCCGCCATCACATACTACAACCAGGAGTACTACAAGTACATCATCCGCTTGGGTGGCTCTGTTGAGGCGACGCTGCGGCGGTCGAAGGATGAGATACCGCGTTGGTACACGTTGCCGAAGGAGGCGCGGCTGAAGTACTACTGCTTCGAGCGCGCTGTGGAGATGCACCCTGTTGGCGGTGCCCACCTCTACCTTCGCTACTGTTGCCGCGACTACGGGTTGTCCCGTGAGGACTCGATGGAGCGGTGGTCGGGGCTTTCGGACCTGCAAAAGGCGGCGCTTAATTTCTGCTTCTACGCGCCGATATCCGCACCGCGGCGCTCCACGTCTGCGTTTCGTCGGTTTTACGTCAGTCAGTGCTACCGCCATGGACTTGTGATGACGGGAAAGGCGTGCAGCAATCGGGCCTTCTTTGCGCGCGTGAAAAAAATCTGGATGCGCATGAATGCAGATGAAAGGGCTCAGTTCGAGGACACGGAATCATTCTCGTCGGTGTTCCCACTTCATTCACCGTCGTCGACAGCGCCGAGCGGACGAAACGCCTTAGACACGAGCTGTGCTGAAACTGCTACTGCTGCGACAGTGTCGGCTGAAGGAGACACCGTGCAGAGTGATAATGATTGTAGTGGCGAGGCTGAAGATGATTTTTTTTACTTCGAGGACGAAGCCATCGAGGACGATCCCAACCAGCACAGCGCCCAACGGTGCGAAGCACATGGAATGTTGCATCCGCAGAAAGAGGAGCACGCCATTTTCACCATCTAGGAAAAAAAAACAAATGGTTGATGTCTTCTTCTTATTTCCTTGGTGAGCATGCTTCTACTCCATGCGACGGTGTTGGGGCTGTGGATGGGAGAGCAAGGGTACCTGCTACCGTGTAGCGGTGGCCCACGTAATTGTACAGTTACCAGGACGGGTTAGATGAGAGTCGAGATAATAACAAAACAAAAACGGATGCCGCGCAATCTGTACGAACTTTTTTTTTCTTTGCGGAGCTTGCCGTAACCCAAAGGAGAGTGTGTGTGTGCCTGGAGGAGGGGCTGGTCGAGTTGCTTGCGGTAACGACGAAGGAGGTACATGGAGTAAGTAGTTGCTCTCCCTCTCTCCCTCCCCCTTAGATTGCGATGACTCCGTTTGCAGTACGCGGCTTGATATAATGGATCATTCATGTTTCTTTTTTACAAATCTCTTTCTTGTCCCAGCACTTTGGTACATGGTGGAAAGAGCTAGAGGCTGACATCATCTACGTCATGGCCACCAATGCACAGTACAGCCACTGTATGGAACTCCTTGCCTTTCACAAGCCGGTAGATCGCTACGCGTATACCCAGACATTGCTACAGCAGAACCGTCTCGCACGTAGCCCGCCTCCTGTGCGATGTGCGTCGCCAGCGCGATCAACAATCCTTCACGCAGTTAGTCACACTTCCACTACTGCTGCTCTTGGTGGCGGTGTGCAGCGCAGTACTATGGGATCACCCAAGAGCAAGGGTGATGCTTCCGCGCTGTGCATTGACAGAAGGTACAGCGAAAACAGTGGCCGGCCGCAGCAGTCGCAGCCAGTGACTGCCCATGCATGGCGTTTCGCAGGGCGCGCTGGTAACCGCGACTACTTCTCGTTGCCAGCGTCCAGTGTCTCTCGCAGTGCACAGATGCAGCTTGAGGTTCAGCGTGAGGAGAGGCGGCATATTGAGCGTCTGCGGCGTAGACTGAATACCGGTGGGCGGTAGCACGTGCCCCATATGCATTGAAAAGAGGGGCACCGCATTTCGGTGACAGTGATGGTAGTCTTGTCTTGTCTGGTTCTCTATACCACATGAGATGAAGCTGTGTGTAGTTGTTTGCTATCCTCACTACGCCATTGTGTAAAACAAAGACGAAGACAAGAAGCGAAAGTGTATTACGGAAAGAAGATCATCTAAACATATCTTGTTAGGAATGTGTTATTATTTCTACTTCGATTATTATTATTATTATTTTTATTATTATTATTGTCGTTTTTGTTCGTATTATCTTTCTTTGGCTGATGTAACAGAGAAAGTTGAATTACATCCAGCACCTTTTTACGCTAATATGGAAGCACCGCCAGAGACGCAGCAGCAGCAGCATGCGCATGCTTTATTGCAGATGTTTGGATGTTCCGCTAAGGTGGCGCACCGCATTGTCGCTCAGTACTGGCCCGATACAGAAGGTAGCGAGCGAGAGTTGCGGCGCAGACAACAGCCGTGCTTGCTAGCGCTCGAAGTGTTATTGGAACAGAAAGATTACCTGTGTCATTTGGGAAGGTCCATCTTACCTATCAATGAAACAACACTGCCATGCTTCCGAAAGGAGTTGCTCTCGGAGCCGAGCAGCGGCTATCCATCGCTGACATGGGGACAGGTACAGCAAACCATTAACAGTGGACCTGGTATTGAGATCTTTTTTATCAATAGTGCATCTGGTATCGCCGAAGATCCTGTCGTTTACGAAGAGTTCTACCAAAATAGAATTGTTGCGGAGGGCTTCGCCGACATTGTCGGTTTTATCACGTCCCTGGATGGCCTCGCGCCTCTCGTAGACTACCTCCACGCCAGGCACTTTGGTGGGCTACAGCCACCTCCTCTCCGCTCCTCTTCCCAGTGGAGGAAATGTGCAAAGGGTGAGATCAGCGTGTCGCTGAAGGCAGGTGAGGTGTTTGCGGTGACAACTGCACCAAAAGAAGCAGCACTGCAAACACTCAAGCGTCGCGTTCGTGTCCTTTTTGGGAACGATGTATTAACGTCAAAGTCAAAACGACAGGATAAGAGTGGTATGCAGTTAGCCTTGAAGGAGAAGGGTTTGACGTACATCCGAGGGCAATCTGGGCACGACGTGACGAAGCTGAAACAATGGCAGCGGGAACAGGGCATTCCGTTTCCTGTAGTTCTTAAACCAGTGAGTGGTGCAGGCTCGGAGTTTGTGACTCTGTGCCGCAACGAAGCTGATCTGGACGTGGCATTCGCTGTTTGCCGTGATGTGAAGACGACGCAGCAGACAGATGCTTCTCATATGCTCTTGCAGGAATACGTTGAAGGGCAGGAGTATGTTGTCAATGTTGTGAGTTACCAGGGAAAGCACGTTGTCTCTGATGTCTGGAAAAGTTGGAAGTACCCACTCGAAGTGTACTGCACACGGCTCCTTCCCGCCGCAGAAGAAAATCTCACACGCGCATTTTTCAGCCGCATCCGCGACCGTCCCCCTTCTCCGGTCAACACTACAGCCTTGTTATACGACCGTCTCGAGTTCGTGCATAACTTGTCCGAGCTGCCTGAGGACAGCGAAGAGCGGCGCGTTGTTGCGTACACACTTCAATGCGTCGATGCCCTTGACATGCGTCAGGGATGTTCGCACTGCGAGGTGCGCGTAGACGGGAGACCTGGGAGTAACAGCTTTGGCATGCCAATCCTTATCGAGCTCAACGCGCGCATGCTCGGTGCCGCCCCTCGCGCCACACCACTGGTTGGATACAATCAGTACACACTCCTGATGTATTTGGCTCTCTGCGCTGCGTCCATCCTGGAGGAAGAATGGGGTGATGAAAGTGGTGGTCATTGTGACACTGACGTTAGCGGAGAGTCGGAGGAGGAAAAAAAGAAGAAGCGGTGCATGTTGCCTTGGCCGCCTGTTCCGCTGCTTTATCGTTCATTTACAACGGGGATCACCCGCCACGTGATTTTTTTTCGGGCTGCGGAGGACAGCTATGTCTGCGCTCCCGGAGTTCGAGGTATCAAGGCGTTGCAGACATTCCGCAACTTCTCAAGAGACACTATATACAACGAAAAGCAGAAGGCAAGCACATTGCTGTACGTGCGCAAAACAATGGACCTTCTGAGTTCGCCTGGTGCATGTGTACTGGAGGGCAGCGATGCAGACATCCGTCGCGACACGGCATACATACGTCGTGTGGAGAACAAGGACCTCAGTGAGTGGAAGGTGCCGCTGGATGCCGCATTGGCAGCCACGCAGGGATCCCTAAATACCAACGCACAGCCACGTCACACCACTGAGGCGGGGATGTCCTCTGCAGCGATAAAGCAGATGGAGGCATTCTTGCGTACGGAGCCGCCGCTGTTCGTTTCTGTGGAGTACGTAGAGAAGCTGAAGCTATTGGGTCTCCTCCATCTCGTTTGCGGTCACGGTGGTGGCGCCACTGCCACGGCCAACTCTTAACCCAAGCAAATGAAAGACAGAAGGTCAACTGGGCGGAACAAAACAAGACCAAATATATGTGATACATGGTATGTAGTCGTATGCATACACAAATGGGGAGGGAGTAAGAATATTGTGTGCGAAAAGGGGAGGGATGCTCGAGACAAGACGAGGTGTGATACATGGAGGAGCTTAGCAAACGTCCCCCCCTCCTTCACGTCGTGTTCCAAGTTTTATTTTCTGTGTTTGCTTTCTTATTTTTTTTGTCACCCTGCATTCTCTTACTGTTTTTGGTGTATTCTTTACCGTGTGCTGCACCTCAAAGGTATGATGATCACATTGATTTTGCTTCTCTGTTTTTGTCCTACTCGTCTCGTCATCGATTTAGTGTGTAAGCGCTGCTCTTGCTTGGCTGCTGGGCGGAGAAAGTGTCAATGACGTCACGGCCGGTTGCGTCATTGGCGCCGGCAGCGACGGCTGTGGTCGTCATGGGCCCGTCGGGCACCGGCAAGAGCACAATTGGCCCCCGCCTCGCAGAGACACTCGGGTGGACCTTTGCGGAGGGCGACGACCACCATCCGGTGGGAAACGTGCAGAAGATGGCGGCAGGCGTGCCGCTCGATGACGCCGATCGCCTCCCGTGGCTGCAGCAACTACGCCGTGACGTGATTGAGCAGAAGATGGCGGCAGGGGACGGCGGTGTCGTGCTCGCGTGCTCCGCACTGCGTGCGTCTTACAGAGACGTGCTTCGTGGCGGTAAGCGCTCAGACGTGTTCTTCGTCGAGCTGAGCGGCTGCATGGCACTCGTCGAGCAGCGGCTGCAGGGGCGGCAGCATGCGTACATGCCGCCGTCACTGCTGGCGTCGCAGTATGACACGTTCGAGCCTCTGGAGTTGGAGGTGGAGACTGGGATGCGCGTGTCGATCGCACTGGAGCTAGACGAAATTGTACGAGTAGTGGTTGCGGAGTTGCGGCAGAGGCGACTGATCTGCGGTTAGGACGTCACTCCGCAGATTTGAATCCCCTCAGTGTTGTTCTTGGGTGCTTTTTGTTGTTGTTCTTTCCAGTTTTTTTGGTGGTGGGGAATATGTTTCTTATTGGGTGTGCATGTACGCTCTATTCTCCCTTTCAGTGTTTTTTTTTTGGTTTTGCGCTTACTCTCTCTCTCTCTCGGTGTGCGTGTGTCTCGGTGTGGGCTAGAAGTGGTTGAATCCCAAAGAACGTCATTATAACGTGTGGTGAAGATTAGATTCACGAGCAAGCACACTTGACCTCGACATCAAACAGATCACGCGCACATACCCCTTCTCGCCATGGCCGCCAAAGAGTATGAGGGCACGGCGCGGTTGACGCTCGATGCCGTCATCGGCTTCGGGGGCCGCGTGCCCAACAGCATCATCGCCCACCCAGACGGTGATCATTTGGTCTATGCGCTGGGTGCCTGTGTCGTGATTCAGGATCTTAATGACCGCACCGCCTCTGATTTTGTCTACGGGCACAACGACAAGATCAGCTGTATCACTGTGAGCTCGAGTGGGCGCTACATCGCGTCAGGGCAGATGACGCACCCGGGATTCCAGGCAGATGTTTGCATTATTGACTTTGAGAAGCGCCGTTTGGTTCACCGCATGCTTCTCCACAAGGTAAAGGTGCAGGCGCTCGCCTTCTCTAAGGACGAGCAGTACCTTGTCTCCATTGGCGGCGTGGATGATAACGCCGTTGTGGTGTGGGACGTGTCAACGGGACGCCCGCTCTGTGGCGCGCCTGCACACCATACGGAGTCGAAAGCGGTTGCTTTCTTTAACAACAACAGTGAGAAACTCATCACGGGGGGTGTAGGCTCACTTCGTGTGTGGACCATTGACCCAGTGGACCGCAAGATGAACCCTGACGATGTCAACATGGGCAACATGCGTCGCAGCATCACAACCATCGCTGTGGAGGCCACAGATCGCTACATGTACTGTGGCACGACAACCGGTGACGTTTTGTGTGTCCTGCTGGAACGTAACGCTAACACTTTCAAAATGAGCGGTCCGCAGAAGAAACTCTCTGGTGGCGTCACCTCCATACTGCTCAACTTGTCCGGTGACGTTTTGGTGGGAAGCGGTTCTGGCGAAGTGGCGCTGCTCTCCAAGATCAATCTAACACTGCTCAAGCAGGTGACCGTTCAAGGCGCCGTTACAGGACTTGCCATCGCCCCACAGGGTTACATTGTGGGTACAATAGAAAGCAATGTGTACCTTGTCGAAGGTGGTAACTTTCATGCAGAACTGCGATTGACCTGCCACAGTGACACCGTGAACGACATTGCGTTCCCTGATGGTTTCAGTGCTCTTTTTGCAACCTGTTGTGGTCCAGACATTAGAGTGTGGAATACATCGACGACCAATGAGCTCCTGCGCATTCAAATTAATGGACTCATATGCAATTGCATTCAGTTTACTAAAGATGGCTCGATGATAGTCTCTGGTTGGGATGATGGCAAGCTGCGCGCTTTCGGTCCACAGTCTGGGAAACTAGTCTTTGCTGTCAATGATGCCCACAAGAGAGAAGGGATAAAGAGTGTGAACGGAGGTAATGGTGGTGTGACAGCTGTCTGCGTCGACAATACATCACAGCGCATTATCTCTGGTGGTGCGGATGGTCTTGTCCGAGTCTGGTTGGTGCAAGGCAACCACTGTACGCTTGAGGCCTCGATGAAGGAGCACAAGGCAACTGTAAATGCCATCTGCGTTTCACACGACAATACGGAGTGTGTCAGTGCAAGTGATGACGGCAGCTGCATTGTGTGGGACTTGGTGCGGCACGTCCGTCGCGATGTCATCTACTCCCAGACGAGGTTCCGTGCAGTGGAGTACTTTGTAGATGAGAGCCAGCTGCTGACAACTGGCACGAACAAAACCATTACGTGGTGGGACTCTGTGGACTGTGGTGCAATTCGCGAGATCCCTGGCAGCAGGACTGGCGAGGTGAATAGTCTCTCCATGTCCGCCGATGGGCGCTACTTTGTCTCGGGTGGCGACGACCGCATTGTGAAGGTGTGGGGCTACGACGAAGGCGTCTGCGTCGCGGTGGGGCTGGCGCACAGCTGCAACATCACTAAGGTGCGGGTGTCGCCCGACGGCAAGAAGATCGTCTCGGTCGGCGACGAGGGCGCCATTATGATTTGGTCCGTTGGGGATCTTAATATTCGCTCGCTGGCTGACTAACCCCCATGAAGTGCGTGTGAGAATGCAAGAGTGAAACAAAAGAAAAATAGAGAGCGAAGGCAAAGGGAAGGAAGGAGGAGAGAAGAAAATGGGGTGAGGGGAAGGANGGGAAAAAGAAATTGGAGCTTAGTAGGAGTGGCGGGGGAGCACGTCACGTCTGATGGATTTCTGCGGCGCTTTGTGGATTCCGTGATAGTGAATGCGCGCAGCAAAAGAAGCAGAGAAAAAAAACACCAAAGGAACGAACACATCTTCGTTAGCGCAGCAACAGCAAAGAAGGATGAAATAAAAATTCGACTGTTTGCGAGTATAGAGTGCAAAGCGAAGAAAAAAAAAGGGGGAGAAAACAACAAGAACACAGAAGATCGGAAGGATAAGCCGCGCAGCAGCAGCAGCATTAGGGATGGTTTGGGTGGGTTCCAGTGTTGGTGCCAAACTGGTCTGAGAACGTCGATAAGGATATTGCATGGCCCCATTGTCGTCATGGCCACAACGTGCAGCAGTACTTCATTGTGTTCTCTGTGATGTGTTTGTGTGTGTGTGTGTGTGTTTGTTTTGATACGTTTGGTGGTAGATTGGATTCCCTGACGTCTCAATTGCCGTTTTTTTTTGTTTCGGCTGTTGCGGCTTCCCTCGACTGCAATGTAACTCAGCTAGGCAGCATGTATGAAGAGAGCGATGGAGGGGATGCATTCCCCCGGAGGCACACCTATTGTCGTGGCCTTCTCGTATTCAATATGCAGATGTGTACACAGGCATGCGTGCAAATGTGCGTGGATTGTCGTTTTTTGTTTGGCGAATGGAGTGCAAATGAGGTGTATCTGTGCTCTTTCCTTGTTTCTTTCTTTTTTTCTTCTTCGTTGTTCTCTCCTGTAATCAATGCCGTGTAGTCGCTGCAGCTGCAGAATCAGCTGCCTGGAATGAGCGCCAGCAGGGGTTCCGCATTGGATGAACCACATGTGACGGGAGGTAACAGCAAGTCGCAGATGGAGAGCCAGGAGAACCATCTCTTTGCGTATCAGTTCACCCCCACGCCATGCGAACCGCTACGGATGGAGAGGTTTCGCTTAGAGAACATATTCATGTGCTTCGCCTCTGTGTGTGGTTTCGCCTTTGCAATTGCGTCGCTTAACACACCGATATCTCGCCTGAAGACGCCGGAGCTTGAAATTACCATCGATGGGTGGATGGTGCACGGATGCCTACAGTCGAACTGTGGGAGCTACTTTTTGTGGCTTAGGCTCTGCGACGAAATCGCCGCCAATGCGTCGCTGTTCGTTGGCTTGGCTGCCACACATGTAGTCGCAATGTTTGTGAATATTGTGTTTAGTGGTTTTTTAGTATTTGGTCGCGTCGGTGTATCAAAATACATGGTGGTGGTGCTCGCCTTTGTGTCCATGCTGCTGGTGTTTATGGCTGGGATGGGTGCCCTGAGCGTGCACGCGTCCCCGCTCTGTCACAACCGATCACTGCAGTCGATGGGATTCAAGTCCGGACCCGCCTTACCATTGCTCCTGACAGACTTCCTACTTCTATTGGTGGCCTTTGTGTTTTATATCATTCGCCGGTACTGTAGGCCGCCACGCTACCACTTCTGAAGCTGCAGAGCAAGTGAAAAGAATCGATGGAGCAATGAGGGGCACGTTGTGGATTGGTTTACCACTTTTAGGAGTACATTTTCCCCTTATTTCCGTGTGTTGTTCTCTTTTTTAGTCTCAGCAGCATTCAATTTCTCTTCTTCATTCTTTCTATCTATCTCTCTCTCTCTCTCTCTCTCTCTCGAGCTGTGCATTTATTGGATTTAAAGTAACTCCATGTTGTCGCCATGGAAATGAAGTGGGGCACGGATGGAGAAGGCGTCTCTGCAAGATAATGTCGGCAATGCAAGAGCAATATGTTGTTCTCCATGCACTTGCTACATGTCATCACCGTCACGTGTTGTGGTCACTCGGATACCCTGCCTTGCAGCGCCCTCGTGTTGCAAAGCGGTGTGGCCTCGAGAGGTCTTTGAGTGTGTGACAATGTGGAGGCACACTCGTTGTTAGTCTGTACTCAAGGCGCATGCAACCTCCTCTCGCATGGGGCCCTTTATCAACACACGCACATACATACATCGTGTGGGGTGAGGAGTCTTGGCTCCGGTGCAGTGCGTGCTGGTGTGAAGACCGCACGAACCTTTGGGCTTCCCCTATTGCTATGGAGGCACGGCTCTCGTGCCCGTGCGACTGCCGTCAGGTTCATACGCAAATAGACATACGCGGACAGAGCGGCAGGAAGTTAACAGAGAGAAGCCGATGCTAGTGGCTTTGCAAACAAAGTAGTTGTGCCGGAATACCACTCTCTTGTTGGTGTTTCTTCGATTGCTGAGTTTTGTCATCGCCCCTTCTCTCTCTCTCTCTCCCTCTTTGTATACGATTGGGTGTTGTTGCGGGTGAGACTTCTTCTTTGCGTTTCATTCTGTGCTGCATACCCTTGTTTTTCTCTTGGCTGAGCGGGAAAGAAGAGAGAGAAAGAGAGGCGGGATAAAGCTGGGTGGGGGTGTGTGGTGTGGAGGCGGAATAGTCGCTCGCAGGGGGAGGTGATGGCGAAGCCCGTATACCTTGCAGCCTCTTTCAACGACAGCTCTCTCTCTCCCGACGTGTCGTACCGGCGCCGCGTGTCGGCGGAGTATGTCGGCTTTGGCGGGTACAACAGGACAGCGATGGCGCGCGTCTCACGGAGTTCGTCGCGATTCGCGACTGAAGATGCGACCGACAACGCCGATGACGTTTCCCTCTCCGCGACGTTCAACGACTCCGTGTCAGTGGCGACGAAGCGTACCAAGAGGACCTGGGATGGCGTCTTTCTCCCGGTGTCCATTTCCATTTTTGGTGTGGTACTGTTCTTCCGGTTACCGTGGATTGTTGGCGAGTGTGGGCTCTGGCTCACCCTTGTGGGGATTGTGTTGAGTTTCCTCGTCACGCTCCTTGCTACGTGCAGCCTGGCCGCCATAAGCACCAATGGGTACGTTGGCGATGGCGGGGTGTACATGATGGTGTCACGCTGTCTCGGGCCACAAATGGGCGTCACGGTTGGAATGACGTTGGTGCTGGCCAACACATTAGCCTCGGCGATGTACCTTGTGGGAAGTGTCGAAGCTGTCATTAAATCCCTCGGAAATGATACGCTCCTGCGTTGGCTGGAAACACAAACGTATGGAGTAACAGTTGGAGCGAGTAGCCTCACACTGTTGTTCCTCCTCCTTGTCAGTTTTCTGAAGTTGGATAAGGTATTTCGATTAATATGCTTCACACTAACGTTTGCTGCTTTGTTAAACTTTATCATATCCGCGTTTGTGCGAACCACGCCGTTCCCCTCCCAAGGGTACACAACCGTATCGGGTGAGACGCTGCGACGCAACTGGTCCCCCGACTTTACTGAAGGGACAAACTTCCAGAAGGCGCTCTACGTCCTCTTCCCTGGCGTCTGTGGGCTTATGAGTGGTGTGTCATGCAGTGGAGAGCTGAAAAATGGGCCCAAGGCAATTCCAAAAGGCATCATGTACGCATGGCTTCTTTCATTCGCCACATATTTGGTGACGGCTGTTGTGGTGGCCGCCTCGTTTGAGAGGAAATTCCTCAAGAAGGACTACCATATTTTGGGGAGGGCCTCATTTGAACCTCTCTTTATCCCTGGTATCTTTTGTGCATCCTTTGCTGCAGTACTGTCTGGAATGGTGGGGTCATCGCGTGTGCTGAGCGCCATCGCGACCGATGGCATTATGCCGTTCTGGTTTTTTCGGTGGATGGCTCGCTTTCGTCCAAAGGGTCGTCTGCAGATTAGTCTACTGGTGTTGTACACCTGCATTCAGGTTATTCTGTTTTTTGGCAACACCTACACGTTGGTATCAGCTTTTACAACGCAAGTTTTTTTGGTGACATTTGTGGCCCTCAGCCTTAGTGTGTTTTTGTCTTCCGCACTAGGCATCACAAGCTTTCGCCCGGTGTTCTCCTTTTTCAATACCCTGACTGCCCTCATTGGAGCGCTGGCGTCCCTTGCCCTGATGTTCTTTATTCAACCCATCATGGCCTTCAGTGTGCTGCTGTTCATGTTTATAGCGTTCGTGTTGGTGGACCTGTATATTGATTTGTCGAAGGTGTACTGGGGTGACGCTTCACAGCCGCTGATGTTTCACCTCGTGCGTAAATTTCTTCTTCGCCTGGATGAGCGGAAGGCGCATGTGCGGCACTGGCGGCCGTCTATCGTTCACGTTGTCACAGATCCACTTTGTTCGCTGAATCTTATCCACCTCGCCAACAACCTAAAGAAGGGTGGTCTCTATGAGGTCTGCTTCGTTTTGCGTGGCGAGTTCGGTGTTACCACAAAGGCTGTGTTCCGCTGGAAAGGATGGCTCATGGACTTCATCGAAGCAAGCGGTATAAAGGCGTTTCCAGTGGTGATGTCCGCGGAAGAACTGCGTCCGGCGGTGCAGAGCATGCTGCGGCTCTGCGGGCTGGGCAGCATGCGCCCCAACACGGTGCTCCTCTCGATGGATGAGATACTGCAGCGAGAGCACTTTCAAACTATTTACAAAGCGTACAAGAGTAATGTGGGAGCTGCATTGGCAATAGACGGACACCAGAGAGTTCAGTTTGTGGGCGAGGGTGCAAAGGATGGCCGGTTACACCGCGTGGAGAGATGCCAGGAGCAAGTCTCGTCTGTTTCTCTGAAGGCCCCGTGCGATGCTGAGGGACAGTCACATGAGAAGGATGCACGATCAAATCCACCAGAGAGTTCCCCTGTGCAAATCATTGAAAGTCCTGGAAAAACTATTCGCATCGGTTCTTTCCCCGCTTCTTACCGGCACCGTGGTATTCTCTGTGAAGACTCATCCCTTCTTGGAGCTGGTAGTGGCGTTGCCACTGCCTCAGTCGCTAAAGATCATCCCATGGGTGTGAGGAGTTGTGTGTCTGATGAAAAAAAGAGACTTTTCTCCCCACTTGATGTGGATGGTGTTCTTTCATCATTACTGCTCCCACCAGAGGTGCACACCTTGCAGGAGGATGCATCTGTTGATAAAAGGGAGGTGCAGAATAGTGAGGATGACTTATCGAACATTGACAATAACTGGAGTGAATGGTTGAAGCAAAGCATGTGGGGGAAGAAGGGTTTGACACAGGATTCTGTTAGCACTGAGTGTGGGGCTTCAACGACGATGCAGCGGCGTGAATCTGCGTCTCCCCCGGAAGAAGTCCCGAAAGGAACTGCAAGGGTGGGCGAAGGAGATGAGGGCCAATGGACTAAACGAGCCCATGCGTACCGCACGAAGCGTCCGTTCCGTTGGGGTCTTTTTCGCTCTGGACGAACTAATGCCGATGAGGATGAGGAACAACGCCTCGTTGAGCAGATGGTGGCACACCGTCACAGGTCCCAATTGAAAAGTGAAGTTGACCTCGCTGGGTATCGTGACAAGACGGAGTTTTGCTGCATCGCACGTGACGCAGCAAACGCCTACATGAATGTCGTAATAGCCAGCAACATGGATCTTCTCGACACCGACGCGATCGAAAAGAAGGGAAAGGAGCGAAAATGGTTCATTGACGTGTGGATGCCGGAGGAGAACGACGCGACCCTCTTCCTCATGGCGCACTGCTTCTGTCTGACAAGTGTGTGGAAGAGGCACGCCGTGGTGCGGGTAGTCTCCGTAGTGACAACAAACAAGGAGGTGCAGCAGGAGGTGCATGATATTCGGTCGATGCTCAAGTTACATCGACTGGCAGCACATCCGCGTGTGGTGACGCTTGAAGAAGAGATGATTCGCAGCGGTGTGAGCGATATTGCAACGATGGAGCGCCGTTTTGACGATCCACAAACGCGACCGGTTGTCATCAATGCTCTTGTGCATGCGGAGATTGAGCAGACACAGCAGCGCGTGGCGGTGTTGATGATGCGTGTACCGCCCTTCGCTCCGGTGCGGGAGGAAGTCGGGGACAGCAGCGCACTGGCGGTGCAGGCTGAGGCGTGGTTCGACTCGCTGCGGGTGATGACGTCGAGGCTGCCGCCCTGCCTGGTGCTGGCCGGGGGCGCGCTCCGCTGCCGCAGCACGGACTGGTGATATCGCACACTCAAGAGCGCGCCAAGGGAGAAAAGAAAGAAAGAGAAAGAAAGAGAAAGAAAGGGGCGATCGTACAGCAAACAAGGCATGACGCTATGCGCTTGTTTGTTTGTTTTCTTGGTTTAGTATACCCTGCCTCTCGCTTCTTGTCGGTTTATTTCTCTGTTGTTGCCGCCCTCTCCGCCCGCGCATGTTGACGTGTTGTTGTTACTTCGGGGTGTGCCGCATCGCTTCTGTTGCTCCCGTCTGTTGACTCGCCTGCTGCAAGTTTTTTTGTCAGGCATTCCAAGCCACTCATATATCATAACCGACCGCAAGGAAGGAAGGAAGGTGCAAACGACATGCTAAGCCGTTCTCTGCCGTCCCTTGGCAAAGTGCTCGTCGTCGCGGAGGCGCAAAACGGCAAGATACTGCCGGCCACGCTGGCTGCAGTCACGGCAGGCGCGAAGATCGGCCCCGTCAGTGCGCTCGTGGCCGGCAAGAGCGGCGCTCAGGTGGCGGCGGCGCTAGCAAAGGTGAAGGGCATCGCAGAGGTGCTCGTCGCGCAGGGCGACCACTACGACAATGGCCTTCCGGAAGAGTACGCCCCGCTCGTGGCGGCGGTGGCGAAGAACGGCTACACGCACGTCTTCGCTGCCACATCGGCGTTTGGGAAGAACGTCATTCCGCGCGCGGCGGCGAAGGAGGATACGATGCCCATCAGCGAAGTCACCGAGGTGAAGGACGAGTCTACCTTTGTGCGCCATATGTACGCCGGCAACGTTGTCAGCACCGTGAAGTCGTTGGACAAGGTGAAGTACGCCACTATCCGCGGCACCAGCTTCGATCGGGCGCCGCTGGAGGGCGGCAGCGCCACGACAGTAAATGTCGATGCGACACCAGCGGTGGGGAAGTCGAAGTGGATCGAGGACCTCGTCGCCACCAGTGACAAGCCGGACCTGCTAACAGCAGCCAATGTCATCGTTGGCGGACGGGGGCTGAAGAACGGTGAGAACTTCAAGCTTCTGTACGACCTCGCAGAGCCGCTCAAGGCGGCGGTGGGGGCAACGCGTGCGGTGGTTGACGCCGGCTTCTGTGCCAACGAAATGCAGATTGGGCAGACGGGTAAGACAGTGGCGCCGAACTTCTACCTTGGCTGCGGCGTCTCGGGGGCGATTCAGCACGTGGCGGGTATGAAAGACTCAAAGGTGATTGCCGTTATCAACAATGACGCTGACGCGCCCTTCTTTCAGGTGGCTGACTACGGCCTCGTGGAAGATCTCTTTACGGCGGTGCCGAAGCTCACGGATATGGTGAAGAAGTGATTCAACCATAGGCTGGGACAAGAAATACACGGAGAGAAGGCATGAAACAAAAAGAGAGTATGGGGGAGTCGGTCTGTGCGGGTGAGGGATGGTTTGGATAATTGTATATCTCTCGACTTATATATGCGTATGATGTAGATGACAGCGAAGTGAGGTTGGGAGGGGTTGAGAGTGAAAGGAAAGCGCTGCTGATGAGTCATGACTGAGAAGGAAGTGAAAAGAGGCACAGAATGCAGCAAGGCGTCGGGATGTGTTTTTTATCTTTCTCTATTCTTTTGTTTCTTCTGTATTAAACAGACGATGCAGAGACGAATGCGGGTCTTGATCGTATCGCTTCTGCTGAGCTCTGCCCTTGATCCTCGCTGAGATGCGTACGCCCGTCTTGGTGTTGTGTGTTCGCTTTCTCCCCTTCCATTCACTGTAGTAGTAGTAGTTGTAGTAGTAGTAGTAATAGTGGTGGTGGATGGAAACTAATGGCTTCTGTTTCTTTCTCATCTCTTTTCTCTCTTTCAATCGACGTCCCTTTTACCCACCTTCTTGTTGTTTTTTGTGTTGTGTTGTGTGTGTTTCTGCTTTTGCGAGCGTTTGTGTGGACGGGCGATGCGGCCAGTGTCATGCTGCGTGAGAGGCATGCTCAACCACACGGTGCCATTCGGCGCCCCTACACAATGTGGTGTCTCTCTCTTTCTCTCTCTCTCTCTCTGTGTGTGTGTGTGTGTGTGTGTGTGTCTGACGCGCAACTTCATATATATTCATCTGTGTACCTGCATGTGCTTGTCACTCTCCGTACTGCTGCAGCTGGAAGGAAATTCCAAGGGAAGTAAAGAAAAAGTGACTGCCAAGAATAGCAGTGCCTTCACAAAGGTATTGGAATTTATACAAGAAGGAAACTAAAACATGTTTCGTGTGTCCTGTAGATACCTTGACAAGGTTCCCTTTGCCACTCTCTTTGGATACAACGGCGTCCTGCAGAGCGTTTTCTCCGCCCCCGTGCACAAGGAGGCGATTGTGGTGGAGTTGCCAGGGAAGGTGCCGCAGCGCTTCACATATGGGCGACTGCAGAAGGACGTGCTCTCAATGGCAAACATCATTGTGCAGCGGCGCGAGGCGCTGATGCGGGCGCAGGGGAAGCCGTCACTGAGTTGGATGCAACAACCGCGGCCGTACAATGTAGATAGCATCTTTGCAGAGGAGGTCGGAAAGGTGCCGAGCTGCGACTACATGAAAGATGACGGCATTTACAACATAGCCATCATGAGCGACACTAGCTACACATTTGTCGTGTCGCTCCTGGCGATATGGTCTTTGAATCAAATGGCCGTTCCCATCTCCATCTCCCAGAAGTACGCCGGAGAGTTATCGTACATTCTTGATCATAGCAAGAGCCGTTTGGTGATGGGTGATAGTGCGTTGTTGAAGGAGCGTTTTCCGAAGGAGTATGAGGCACTTATGGTGTGCAGCTTCACTAGTCTGCATCGTCACACAATGACGTCGCCAAAGGGCACGTACAATGTAGAGACGATGTTTGACGCACAGACGATTCTTGCACAAATCCAAGAGCGGCGGGAGCGTGCGCAGGCGGCGACGGCGATGCTTCTCCCCGAGCATCTCATGCCGGAGAAGGAGCGGGAGCAGATACACAGCGCGCAAGAAGTCATTGACCGATTGGCGCAAGAAAAAGCCGCAGAGGAGGAGCGACGTGAGGCATGGCGTCAGTACAGGATACGGGAGCAGTTCAAGGCACACTGCGCCATTACTGACGCTGGAGATGGGACAGGGCTGTACTATGACACTGATCACCTCGACTCCCTCAATGCGGTGCACCGCCGCTGGGTGGAGGATTATTACTCCCGCCCAAGTAAACGCGATGACTGCGTGATGATTTACACATCTGGAACCACCGCAAACCCGAAGGGTGCCGTTCACACCCACGCGAGCGTCCACAATATGGTGAATGTACTGAAATCCGCCTGGGAATGGTCGTCAGAAGACAGTATTCTGCAGATGCTTCCCATGCACCACATTCATGGACTCGTCAATGTTTTGCTGTGTTCTCTGGCGTCAAATGCTCGTTGTGTTTTGACCAAATTCGATGATCCAATTCGTATCGCACATCGGATGGAGCAGGGGGACATCACGCTGGTGATGGGCGTCCCGACAATATACACCAAGCTGGTTGCGGCCGTCAACCAAAAAATGTCACCAATAGAAAAAGCGGGCTTTAAAAATGCCGTGTCGCAGAGTGTACGATTGATAGTTTCTGGGAGTGCGGCACTTCCTGTGCCAATTCTCGAGGAATTTCGAAAAATCAGTGGGCACACGTTATTGGAGCGATATGGTATGACAGAAATTGGTATGGCGATTGGCCAGCCGCTGCGTCCTGTTTCCGACCGTATTCCTGGTACTGTAGGTGCCCCGCTGCCGACGGTACGAGTGTTTGTGCACAACGGTGTAGCCACTGGACAGACGGAGGAAGCAGGGGAGGGTGTGAGTGATCCCGAGGCCAAGGTGGAGTTTGACGAAATTGGTCAGTTAGCTATTGCCTCTGAGTCGCTGTTTGACCGCTACTGGGGAAATCCTGAGGCGACAAAGAAGGAGCTGTTGGTGAGCCAGCAGGGCCACCGCTACTTCAACACAGGTGATACCATCGGTGTAAAAAAGATTCATGGAAATAATAATGATGCCGTCTTTACAATTCTAGGCCGCTCTAGCACAGATATAATCAAGTGCCGGGGTTACAAGGTCTCTGCACTGGAGATTGAGGCCGCGCTGCTCACGCGCAAAGACCTTTTCTTTGAGATTGCCGTGGTGGGATGCAAAGACAGTGAACAGGGGGAGAAGGTGGTGGCTGTTGTCTCACTGAATGCAGATGCACTGCGGAAGTGGAATATCCCGGACGACTTCGACCGCTTCGAGTCGCAAGAGCTTAACAAGGAGCTCAAGAACGTAGCGCGTGACATACTTGCCTACTACAAGTGTCCGGAGCGGTTCATTATTCTCCCGGAAGTCCCGCGGAATCCCACTGGGAAGGTAAACAAGAAGAGCCTCAAGACAAAACTTTTATTGGACTGATCAGAAAGAAAAAAAGAGCAGCGCTTGTTGAGAGGGTGTCGCAAAGGACTGTTTTTTGTTTTATTTCATCCCGAAGTGGAGACAAAAGAAGACATTAAGAGTGAATATAATCCTGCGAATGGCAAAAAAAACGTGAGGAGCTTTCGCTTGATTTGTTAGTAAAAAAAAAATGCACATGGTCTCCACTCTAACATTGAGTCGAGATGCGCACCTATTTCTACACACACACAGATATATATATATATATATATACAGTTCTCTTTCTTTTACTTTTTTTGTTGTGTGTCTCTGGTTGGGGTTCCCTCAAAAATTTCGCGGTGCTCACCATTCATCAGGGGAGTGGGCAGAGGCGGGGAAGGGGCACCCTTTATTACCCCCGCAGTGTGAGATCAATACGCACATACACAGAAAAAGGGGTAGAGTGTGAAAGCCGCAATCGCAGAGCAAACAAACAACAAATAGGGAGTTACCAGCACTCAAACATTACTACTAGCCACCCACTTCGGTCAATAATAGTTCACACTCACTCGCACGCAGACACAGACGCGAAATATGAGTGACGGTGAAGATGGTCGCAGCGGAAGTCTTTCACAACCCGCAGAAATTCTGGGAAGGATCTTCGAAACTGTGAGTCAGTTGCGGCGTCGACAGAACGCGTGGAATGAGGAGTTGCGACGCTTCTTTCTAACTGAGGGGCAGCAGAAACTTGAATGTGATCGCCTGACGGAGCGGGTAAATTCCGCAGCGGCAGCATCACAGAAAGGTAGCACCTTTAACGAGTGGATGTCATGCCGCACGGAACTCGGAGTTGGTGAAGATGTGATCAAAGAGTGGTATCACATCGACAGCCTCGTGGAAAAAACACCGTTTGTGGCAATTGTACCTTGCCCACGTGGACTCTCATCAGATGGAGAGGCGGAGGTGGTGAGGGTGGTTGATGCGCTTGAGCTCCCACGTTTCTTTGTTCAAACCGTGCCGCTGCATCTTCCCCTCTCGAAACTCGCGCCGACGTTTATTCCCTCATCTTGGCACCTTCCCGAAGAGGAGCGCATGTCAAAGTCTGGTCTTGGTGCTTTACCGTACGTTGGGGTGCCATGCACCTACGGAGGAGATTTACTGAATCTTATTTCGGGAAACCCTACACTTCATGCTGCACTTGACTCCACGCCATGCTTGTTTTTAAACGACTACGTCCCTCGCGTGGCTCTGTGTGTGCACTGCGCAGCAGTGAGCGGTCTGTGTGTGGTGGCAGAGGTGGCCTGCAGTGCCCACCTTGCATCTGTGCTGCGGCTCGAACAACCTGTACTCCATAATGGAGAAACGGAGGATTCTATCGATGTACTTTCTTTTGCTTTGAAAGAGTTTGTCGAGGGGGAGCTAGTTTCCTCTCTTGGAAAGCGCTCCTTCCGCGCCTTTTTGCTTGGTGAACTCAGCTCCCAACGAGAGACAGACATGCGGTCGGGAGAAGGAACATTACTGTTAACCGATCTCCGTTTCTCGCTGCTGAACATGAGCACCCTTGATGGATGCGAGTTTGAGTGCTTTACGCAGAGGGACATCCTCGCAATTGCGAAGCATATGGAAAGCTGCAAACGTGAGAATAGAGGGCTCCCACCTGCTCTGCGATTTTTGGAGCGTCCTGCCACGAATGGGGGCCCTGGAGACAAACAACCGGAGAAATGAAAGGAAACCCCCC